CAACCAGCGCCTCCACGCGACACCCTGCTCCCACCCCAATATCCTTCTTCCCTCCTCCTCCTCCTCCTCCTCCCTGGTATCGACCCAGCGCTGAAAAACTCCCCCATCTGTGACGTTTACGCCTAAAATATTCAAGCCATCTGTCACCAATAACAGTGAGCCGGCTATCGATTTTTAGGCCTCTTTCCACCACTCTTGCTGCCCTTTCTCCTCCCCCGGGCATACCCTTCTCGGCAATAATTAATTCTTCCCGGCGACTTAACACCAGACCATCTATTATTCGATGAAATTAAGATTTCAGAAGTGGTTTCAGGTCGGGGGTGCAGCCAGCCAGTCGTCTTAGTCTTAGTCACCATTTCCTTCTCATTGTCATAGATTACGAACGTGGAAATTCCTGAGCGAATAAAATAAATTCTTGTTCCTTAAGCCGGCTTCTTGTAGGTTTTTGTCCCGGCACCGAGTTTGCCGGTGCCACGCCGGTGTTGATGTTATGGCTTTGCCCCGCTATGAGGATAAAACTAAAACTCGCCCCTCTCAGTTGAGAAGAAAGTGGAGAAAGTAGAAAGACGGCTTGCTGCATCGTGGCAGGTAGACAGACAGACTGACTGACTGTCGAGCGAGGCCTGAAGTAGTGGGGGTGAGCGCGTGGGTGGAGGTGTTTGTGTGTGTGTGTGTGAGTGTGTGTGTGGGTGTGTGTGAGTAGGGGGGGGGGGTCCCAATACAAACCAAGGGGGAGCCAAAAATATAGGCGGGCTGTTCTTTGTATTTGTGTCCTGTTTAAGATTGAGCAAAAGAAGAAGAAAAAGTGACCGGACTTTTGGGTAGGTAGAAAATATAGGAGAGAGGTTTGAGTTGTAGCCGCAAGGAAGTGCATGTTTGTGTTCTGGACAAACAGCAGAAAGAAACAGACGGTTTGAATGAAACGCTGTGCTCTGACAACGTGTTTCTGAATTTAAAAGGGAAAGAGGAAACCCGGAAGAATCAGATGAGAATTCTGTATGGCTTTAATCATTTATTTTTTTTATTCATAAAGAAAAAGACAACAAAAAACCTCACTGAACAACGCCTCTGTGCTGTTAATGTTACAATAATATAAACAAGCAAAGAGGAAACAATGATGCACTCACTGTCAAGAAGAGGAAAAAGAAAGGTATGCGCGCCAAAAACTTGTTGTAGCCGCCGTGGTGTGATAAGGCGTGGTTAGTTTCGTGTGTGTGTGTGTGTGTGTGTGTGTGTGTGTGTGTGTGTGTGTGTGTGTGTGTGTGTGTGTGTGTGTGTGTGTGTCTGT